GAGCGTTCGCTGTGAAGTGGGTGGGAGTAGAGAGTGATTGACCAAGCCTGAAACAAAGGTTGATACAGGTTTCTAAGGTCATCTGGAATGACAAAAACATATTACTGATGCATGACAGCAAGGATACTAGTAATGTACGGCACCACGAGAGGGAACGTTTTGATCCAAAGAATCAGCTGCCAATTGTGAAACTTGGCGGAGGCTTGATAAGGTTGCCTTGGAAAAAAGTGGGACCACGCTACACGACTGAGGTAGCGATGAAGGCAGACGTTTGCTGTCATGTTTTGGAAGGTGTCATGTATCCGTAGGCATGGCTGCCCCGACCTGGACTTTGTCTGTCGGCAGAGCAGCGACTCAAAGCATCGGGCCTCTCACATGCAGGAGTGGTTTCGACAGCATGGGGTGCTTTTAAAAGACCAGCCAGGCCAGACTCTTGAGCCAAACATTACAGAACCACTAGGGGAGGACCTACAAATTCGTATGTCAATGAAAGAGCCACGAAAAGACGGGACTACAGAGAGAGACCCCACTAGAGAGTGAGTTCATTAGTTGACCCCGCATTCAAATCCAGTTTATGTATCCAATACTTTAGAGAGTTCTGGGCAATGTGCTAGACTTGCTTAATGTTAGTGACTGTTTACTTGACTGTTCTGTTGGGTTATACATTATTTAAATCAAATAAACGGATCAAGTGATCTTTCACCTGCCTTCATTAATTTCGAAAAATCTAAAATTTTCTAAACCCAAATTTGAGCTGAAGGTTGAAATTTTCTGTGTGGATCATAAAACACGTAGTTAATAATTGTTGCAAATTTGGAGACGTTCCAGTGACTTTCAAAAGAGAAATCATGAAAAAACCGTTTGTTCATAAATTTCTGGCCACTACTGTACATATGTTTCTAGAGGTGAATTTTTCGAGAAATAGTTATCATTCGTCTGTAGCGTGTTCCTATCGAAGGAAAAGATCACGCTGGCTTCCACGTAGGTCTCCGAACTCCGCGTTATCAAACGATAAGGTCGGATGTACTCTCCACCAGAGTCAACCCTGCGTTGCGCAGTTCGCAACGGCAGGTTGAGAGATCCTCAACGCACG